GGTTTTCAATCTGAAATGGGAGATCTTAATAATAAGAAGACAAGAGTCCCAGGGGCCACATCGCTCACCTGAGCACTGTGGCTAGGAAAAAAGCAAAAATCAGTTTAGTATTGAAAAGCTTTTTCCTATATACTCCTATTTTAAACTTTGATCATCTATTGTGGCTCCACCCTACCCCAGGGGTCATAATTTGAACAAACTTGAATCTACACCTCCTGCAGTTGCTTCCATATAAATATGACCAATCATGGCTTTGCTGTTCTTAGGAAGAAGAATTTTTAAGATTTTTCCTATATACTCCTGTGTTTAATTTTGATCGTCCATTGTGGCCCTACCCTACCCTAGGGGTCATGATTTGAACAAACTTGAATCTACACCACCTGAGGATGCTTCCATATAAATATTAACAATCAAAGCTTTGCTGTTCTTTAGAAGAAGATTTTTAAAGATTTTTCCTATATATTCCTGTGTTAAACTTTGATTGTCCACTGTGGCCCCACCCTACCCCTGGAGGTCATGATTTGAACAAATTTAAATCTACACTACCTGACAATGATTCCATGTGAGTTTTATCTTTCCTGGCCCATTGGATTTTGAGAAGAAGATTTTCAATGATGCCATTAATATTTTGCCTTTTCGTAATTATCTCTCCTAGGAAGAGGGCGTGGCCCTTCATTTGATCAAACTTGAATCCCCTTTACCCAAGGATACTCTGTGCAAATTTTAGTTGAAATTGGCCCAGTAGTTCTGGAGAAGAAGATTGAATTGTGAAAAGTTTACAATGACAACGACAACAACGAACAAATTTTGATTAGAAAAGCTCACTTGAGCCTTCGGCTCAGGTGAGCTAAAAACTATTTAAAACCTTTAAAGGGGAGACATAAATATAACTAGAAACACCAAAAGGTATTTCCAATACGTATTTTTACTTCACATATGTAAAACAAAAATACTGATATTAAATGAGTTAAATATTGAAAACTTTCAGCCCCTCTGGGCCCCAAATAGGACAATCATATCCTTTTTTTCATTGTTGAGATTTGAAAATGAAAATACATAGGGGCCAGGAAAGTAACTGTGGCTGGCTAGGAAAAAAAGCAGAAATCAGTTCAGTATTGGAAAGTTTAAATACATAAGGTGGGATTGATTTGAACAAACTTGAATCTACACTACCTGAGGATGCTTCCATATAAATATGACGAATCATGTATTCCTATGTAAGATTTTGATCATCCATTGTGGCCACACCCTACCCCCTGGGGTCATGATTTGAACAAATCTGAATCTACACTACTTGAGGATGCTTCCATATAAATACATGTATGATCAATCATCAATCATAGGTTTGCTGTTCTTGACAAAAAGATTTTGAAAGCTTTTTCCAATGTATTCCTATGTAAAACTTTGATGATCCATTGTGGCCTCACTCTACCCCCTGGGGTCATGATTTGAACAAATCTGAATCTACATTACCTGAGGATGCTTCCAAATAAATATGACCTATCACGGCTTCGCTGTTCTTGACAAAAAGATTTTAAAAGATTTTTCCAATGTATTCCTATGTAAAACTCTGATGATCCATTGTGGCCCCACCCTACCCCAGGGGTCATGATTTGAACAAACTCGAATCTACATAACCTGAGGACAGTTCCATATAAATATGGCCAATCATGGATTTGCTGTTCTTAAGAAGAAGAATTTTAAAGATTTTTACCTTTATATTCCTATGTAAAAATAGGATCCCACATTGTGGCCCCACCCTACCCCTGGGGTCATGATATGAACAAACTTGACTAGTGGGTATTGTTTTTTTTTTTACAAAAAAACACATGTCTCCCCTTCTTTACCAACATTAACGAGTGCAAATATATGATCAGGGTCAAAAATAATAATGCAGTGCATCTCAACTCAAATTCTGTGTACAAAATTTCAAGTCTTCATGTCAAACGGATCTCAAGTAATCGTCTGGTCATGTTTTTCTTAATTTGACCTTGAAGAAAGTGGTCAAGGTCAAATATTTTGATACAGTGCATTTGGTCTCAATGTTGTCTTTCCTTGTTCGAAGTTGAAATCCTAATGTCAAAAAGTTCTCAAGTTATGACCTAGACTATATTTTCAGGTAAACGATTGACCTTGACTTTATTAATAGGTCAAGGTGAAAAAATGTTGCCATTCACCATTCCTCTATACCACCTCTTCATGTTCCAAGTTTGAAGTCTTAATGTCAGGGTTCTCAAGTTATGGTATAGTAATGTTTTCTCTATTTGACCTTGAAGAAAGGGGTCAAGGTCAAAATTTTGAAGCGTTGCATCTTGTAACAATGTCTTCTTTCTATGTTACAAGTCTGAAGTCCTAATATCAAAAGGTACTCAAGCTAAGGCCTGGACTCTATTTTGATGTAAAAGATTGACCTTGACATTATAATAATTGAATCAAGGTCAAAAATTTTGGTGGCATGCATCCCTCCTTCATACCATTTCTGCATGTTCCATGTCTGAAGTCTATATAACAAAGGATTCTTAAGTAATGGTCTAATCAAGTTTTTTCCATATTTGACCTTGAGGAAGACAAGAGGTCAAGGTCAAAAATTTTGGTGTGTTGCATCTTGTATCAATGTCTTCTTTCTCTGTTACAAGTTTGAAGTCCTAATATCAAAGGGTACTCAAGCTATGGCTTGAACTCTATTTTGATGTAAAAGATTGACCTTGACATTATAATAATCGAATCAAGGTCAAAAATTTTGGTGGCATGCATCCCTCCTTTATACCACCTCTGCATGTTCCAAGTTTGAAGTCTTAATGTCAAAAGGTTCTCAAGTTATGGTCAGATTGTGTTTTTTCCTTATTTGACCTTGAAGGCAGAAAGGGGTCAAGGTCAAAATTCTAATGCAGTGCATTTTGTCTCAAGGTCTTCTTCCTATGTTACAAGTTTGAAGTCTTAATTTCAAAGGGATCTCTAGTTATGGGCTGAACTCTATTTTGATGTAAAAGATTGACCTTGACCTTATAAATAGGTCAAGGTCAAAAATGTTGGTGGCGTGCACTCCTTCTCAATGTCATCTATCTATGTTCCAAGTTTGAAGTCTTAATGTCAAAGGGTATTAAAGTTACGGCCTGGACAAAATTTGGATGAAGAAGAAGAAGAATAAGAAAATCGACAAAAACAATATGTCTCCCCTGGAAGGGGAGACATAAATCTTCCAAAGTATTCATATGTAACCTGAGGATGCTTCCATATCAATATGATCAATCATGGCTTTGCTGTTCTTCAGAAGATTTTTAAAGATCTTTCCTATGTATTCCTGTGTAAAACTATGATCGTCCATTATGGCCCCACCCTAACCCTGGGGCTTATGATTTGAATAAATTTGAATCTACACTATGTATTAAGGGTCCTCCACACCCCGTGACTTGTGACGTATATCAAGAAAAAATACTTTACTTCCCATTTAATGTAGGTTTTGCACTGACAATTTGCCTGGCACCTCCTGTAAGAGAGTCTTAGAAACGCTTAAGAGATAAGGATTTTGTCAAGGGAAAAGTACGCAGTAAACCAAGAGTGATACTCTAATTATAAACAATGAACACATGGAATGATCACAGAGCGACCCAGAGAAAAAGGTGTCAATTTTTTTCAATAAAAGAACAGCGGACCTTTGGGTTTATGTTGCATAATAGTTCGTAAATAACAGGTACTGTATATCTACGAGAAAAGTTTTAGGTTATTTATACTTTCAGGCTAATCAATCCATTTCCATTTCGTCAACAAAGTCTGTTGTGAAAGTTGATATTTTGCACACTAATTTGAGCGTTTCAGTAATACCTATCTCATTGTGTATTTATAAATATTGATAAATAGTGTGTATTTCTAGTTTTGCTCATTTATATATGTCCAATTCAGTAGCCAATGACCAGTAACTTTAGTATGATGAAGTATGCGGAGACTTACCAAAGTTTTTGAGACCTGGACAACAGGAAAGATAACTCTAAAAAGGAATTTCTACACCAAAGATTTTGAAAATAATTTTTCTACATCAATAAATTTGAATTTAATTCAATTTCTTGTTGTAATTTATTTCATTATTGTTTCTTCTATACTATCAAGAGTCTTTCTTAATTTTTTCTAGATGTATTTTAGAGAAAATGAGTTTTATATATTTTTTAGAACTTTAATTAATTTCCTAAAAAAGTATGTTGACTGATAAAATTAAGTTTCTGGGGTTGTTTTGTGAGCTTAATGGTATATGACAGGAAAAAACAAAATTTGCTGTGCTATGTATCAAAACTCCATGGGAAAAATATCATGAAACTTGTAAAATTAAATTTAAAAAAAAATCAGTATAAATTATATTTCAATTCCTGGCCAGATTTTAAAGGTTGATATGCTTGTTAAAAGTAATGCCCAGTAATGTGATAACATAAGCTGGGGGTGTGTGGAGGACTCTTAAAGGTTTCACAAAAATTTCAACTTCTCTGGCTGAATGGTTCTTGAGAAGTTTTTAAATTTTTTTTTCCTATATGTCCCTATGTAAAACTTTGATCCCCATGGGTCAAGAATTCAAACTTGAATCTACATTACATAATAAAGATTTCACGCAAGTTTCATCTTTTCTGGCCAAGTGGTTCTTGAGAAGAAGGGTTTTAAATGATGCCACCAAATTTTCATTAATTGTTAATTATCTCCTCTTGAAAGAGGGCCTGGCCCTTCATTTAAACAAACTTGAATCCCCTTAACCCAAGGATGCTTTGTAGCAAGTTTGGTTGAAATTGGCCCAGTGGTTCTGGAGAAGAAGTCGAAAATGGGTAAACTTTACAGACGGACAAACAGACAGACAGACGCCAGACAAAATGTGATCAGAAAAGCTTTCTAGAGCTTTCAGCTCAGGTGAGCTTAAAATTATTTCTAGTTCTTGGTAAGAATTTTAAATCATACTAGGATGAAGACAGTAAGGTTTATTAAAATAACAGAATGGAAATGGTAAAATTTATAAAATCACTTACAAGCAGTATCACTCTTCCATGCTTTTAACAAAGAGTCCTTATTGTCTACATCCTTGGAGATCAAGGCCTTCAACAAAACCTCAGTTCTAGGCTGTAACCTGTAATATGTACATATTAACCCTGAATTCCAAGAGTCAAGGACAAGTAAAAAATTTCATTATCAAATACATTTTATTAGTTGATTGTACATACAAGAACTTTTAACAACCATTTTTTGACAACACCCCTCTCCACAATTCTAAATAAAAATCCATTACATGTGCCAACTTTTTTTTTGGTTATGCAAATAAAATTCAGAGATTAAGAATTAATTAAGTCTTCCATCCCCAATGGAAGGCCAATTATCAACAGTGGTTGGATAGTTTCTTTTTATTTAGGTCTTTCATCTTTAGTGGAAGATGTTCTTGTTAGGTCTTTCCACCTTTCCGTGGAAAGACCTATTGAAATTGTTATGTTAAATAGGTCTTTCCACCTTTCTTTGGAAAGACATCTTGAAATGCTCTTGTTTATTAGGCCTGTCCACCTTTCTGTGGAAAGACCTCTTGAAATGCTTCTGTTTATTATTACTAGGTCTTTCCACCTTTCTGTGGAAAGACCTATTGAATTACTTCTGTTTATTATTATTAGATCTTTCCACCTTTCTGTGGAAAGACCTCTTGAAATGCTTATGTTTATTAGGTCTTTCCACCTTTCTGTGGAAAGACCTATTGATATTCTTCTGTTTCTTATTATTATTATTATTAGGTCTTTCCACCTTTCTGTAGAAAGACCTATTGGTTTTCTTCTGTTTCTTATTATTATTAGGTCTTTCCACCTTTCTGTGGAAAGACCTATTGAAATTGTTCTGTTTATTATTAGGTCTTTCCACCTTTCTGTGGAAAGACCTATTGAAATTGTTCTGTTTATTATTATTATTATTTTTATTATTTTTCCGCCAAATGGTTTTTTGTTTCAAAAGTTATCGAAAAGATTTATGGTCCATAAGAATGCACTTCGTAAAAGATTTTTATAGTTGACCCTGTGTATATGAACTTTGACCCCTCAAGGAGTTACAACCCCTTTCGCAATAAAAGCTTGCTATCGCTACTCCTTCGAAACCTTAAACCGTAGAGATACGAAACCTTCACTAATGTCTTTGACTAATTTAGTAGACTCTTCAATCTATTCAGTGTGAAAGGTTGCATAAACCCCTTTAATTGGTTATTGCCCCTGAAAGTTTTTGATGGTTATGAATAATTTTTTTTTTAAACGATCATAGAGACATGGGACCAATGGCATTGGCATGTGTGTCCTTCGACCTTGAAATTTATAGAGGTCAAAGGTCAAGGTCATTCAAAATATGAGAAAATTAGCTTTTTTAATATCTCTTTTGTATTTCAACATATACTGAATATCTTTGCATCTATAATATGTTCTTCTAAAACTATTTCAAAGATTTCATTCTTGTCCCCCGAGCTTGACCCATTCAAAAGTTGTCACCCCTTTTGCAACAAAACCTTGTTATCGCTACTCCTCTGAAACCGTAAACCGTAGAGATTCCAACCCTTCATCAGTGTCTTCGACTCATGTAGTACTCTCTTCAGACTATCATTGTGAAAGCATTCTTTGGTCCCTTGTATGAGTTACTGCCCCTGAAAGTTTATGCTGCTTACACTTAATGAACTTTTTCTTAAACGGTGTATCCTAGAGACATGGGACCAACTGCATCTGCATATTTGGCCTTTGACCTTGAAATATAGGTCAAGGTCAAAGGTCAAGGTCATTTAAAAACATAAGAAATTCCTTATATATGTGTAAATAAAGCAATTCACCAAATGACCTTGACCTTTGACCTTGACCTTTGACCTTGACCTTGGGTCAAATGGAAAAGTAAGAACATGCATCCAGCTCCAGTATCAGGAAAAACATAGAAAGTAAAGATTTCTTGTTTTTTTGTTTGTTGTTTTTGTTGGTAATGACCTTGACCTTTGACCCTTGACCCAAAGGTCACAATCAGGCTTAAGGATGTGGAAGTAGTTACAATTCTTAGTTTAAAAGAGGCATAAAATAAATAATTTATCACCCCCCCTTCTTAAAAAAAAAAAATCACATCAACAACAACTTGGTATATTTCTGGAAAATTCAAACCAGACCTCGGATCGACACCATATTTGGTACAAATGTAGTATAGACCTCAGAGAAACTTTCTGGAGAGTTTTACGGTGAGTCTTATAAGTTTATAGAAGTCAAAAAGTTTCACGGCAAAAACTACAAGTTCTGTTGTGTTTGAAATTAAAGTGCAGGTGAACGAAGAAATGATCTAAACCTTTCATAGGCTATTTCTTCAGATGTCGTTAGTAGCATTCGATTCTCCTGATATGATACGAAATTTTAATACCAAGCATTCTCTCTTTCTTTTACATTTGGAATTTATTTGATTTTTATTTAGAATTAATCAGTTTCCAGAAATAGCGATTTTCGGTAGATTAAAAACAATTCTCGCTTTCATTGTCGTGTTTCCCTTCTAAAAATGCATGTTGGGAGTTTAATTTGTGCTACACATATTTAATTTAACCCAAAGAAATGCTTATTTAAATGTTTCATATTTATTTCAGGATATTTAGTCAAAAATGTTAAAATCCAAACCCGATCTTTTAAGCTTACAATGAAGCTATTTACAAAACATTCAGCATGCTTACAATATCGATGAATCGGGCTACAGTCCATTAATACACTTTCATTAGGGAACAGTGTTAACGATTTCTCATGCAGCCCGTCCCTTGTTATTTTTATATACTGCTTGCAAGTTCAGGAACTATTTCCTTTTACGGAACTTCTTTCTTCCCCTACCGATTCTAAAAATACGCTTGCATTTCTTCTATAGTCTTAAACAATTAACTTATGTATGTTATCGGAATGTGTGGCCGAGTGGTTAGCGCACCTGCCTTTCAACCCAAGGGTTTTGAGTTCGATCCCAGCTGGAGGAGCATATTTTTTTTTTTTTTTTGCATTTTTTGCATTTTTCTCCTTTTTTTCAACCCAAATGACATGGAAACACTTAAAAAGGTGGAAAGGCCTCTAATTGTTCTCTGAACAATTAGTCTCCTAGTGCTTTATTAGGTCTTTCCACCTTTCTGTGGGAAGACCTCTTGAAATGCTTATGTTTATTATTATTATTATTAGGTCTTTCCACCTTTCTGTGGAAAGACCTCTTGAAATGCTTATGTTTATTATTATTATTATTAGGTCTTTCCACCTTTCCATGGAAAGACCTTTTGATATTCTTCTGTTTCTTATTTTTTATTATTTTTCCGCCGTGTGATTTTGAGTTTCAAGATATATGGAAAAGATTTATAGTCCATAAGAATGTACTCCGAAAAAGATTTTTGCAGTTGACCCTGCGTATATCAACTTTGACCCCTCAAAGAGTTATTACCCCTTTCATAATATAAGCTTGTTATCGCTACTCCTTCGAAACCGTAAACCGTAGAGGTACGAAACCTTCACCAATGTATTCGACTAATTGAGGGGACTCTTCAATCTTTTCATTGCGAAAGTATTCGTCAACCCCTTTCATGAGTTATTGCCCCTGAAAATTTTTGATGTTTACAAATAATTAAAAATTTTCAAAACGATAAGTCATAGAGACATGGGACCAACTACATAAGATTCATTGACCTTTGACCTTAAAATATATGCAAAGATCAAAGGTCAAAGTCATTCAAAACATGAGAAATTAAGCTATTTTTATATCTCTTTTGTCTTTCAACATATACTAAATATCTTTGCATCATTAATATGTCCTCTTAAAACTATTTCAAAGATTTCATACTTGTCCCTTAAGATTTACCCCTTTAAAAGTTATTGCCCCTTTTACTGAAAACCTTGTTACTGCTACTCCTCCGAAACCGTAAACCGTAGAGACACAAAACCTTCACCAATGTCTTCAGGGTCTTTAGACACAACTTCAACCTATTCAGTGCGAAAGTATCCGATGACCCCTTATATGAGTTATCGCCCTTTAACGTCTTTGCGCTTACTATTAAACCTTATATCTTTAAAACTTAAAGTCGTAGAAGCATGGGGTCAAGTGCAATGTGACCCTTGACCTTTGACCTTGAATATTTGTTCAAGGTCAAGGTCATTTCAATTTTTTTAAAAAAAATTTTTCATTATTTCTATCTTTTAAGCCATTTATGGATTCTTTTTGTATTAAAATTAACTTTAGAGAGTAAAAATGAAAAATATATGAAATTTAAAGAAGGTGGAAAGACCTCTAATTGTTCGAGAACAATTAGTCTACTAGTTATTATTCTTTTTCTTCCCGGACTTTTGAAACCGCAAGACTTATCGAAAAACTTTATAGTTCATGATACAGGACATTAAAAGTTATTTCGAAAAACGACCCCCCGTGTTTGACCCATGACCTCTTACGAAGTTATTGCCCCTTTCGCAAGAATAGCCTGTTATCGCTACTCCTTCGAAACCATAAACCGTAGAGATACAGAACCTTCAACAATGTTTTCGACTACTCGAGAGGACTTTTCAATCTTTTCATTGCGAAACGATTTGTCGAGCCCTTTAATAAATTACTGCCCCTGAGAGTTTTTGATGTTTACGAATAATGACAAAATTCTCTAAACGATAAGTCGTAAAGACATGGGACCAACTGCATTAGATTTTGTGACCTCTGACCTTGAAATTTTTGTGAAGGTCAAAGGTCAAGGTCATTCAAAATATGAGAAAATTAGCTTTTTTAATATCTCTTTTGTCTTTCAACATACACTGAATATCTTTGCATCTATAATATGTCTTCTAAAACTATTTCAAAGATTTCATTCTTGTCCCCCGAGCTTGACCCATTCAAAAGTTGTCACTCCTTTTGCAACAAAACCTTGTTATCGCTACTCCTCCGAAACCGTAAACCGTAGAGATTCCAAACCTTCATCAGTGTCTTCGACTCATTTAGTACTCTCTTCATTCTATCATTGCGAAAGCATTCTTTGGTCCCTTGTATGAGTTACTGCCCCTGAAAGTTTATGCTACTTACATTTAATGAACTTATTTTTAAAACGGTGTATCCTAGAGACATGGGACCAACTGCATTGGCATATCTGAC